ATTGTATGGTGCTTTGATACATCACCCTTTTATTCACTCTCAGTGGCCATGGCCTGAATGGTTTTGGTAAATCATGGCAGGAAATTGAATGCTGAAATGTTCAATGTAAGGGTCTGGCTGAAATCTGCTAAGGCTTTCTGTGTCTGTTGCCTGTAATTTGGGCTCAGTCTGAGTATTTAGTTGCCTTATTTCTATTACTAGCTAGTCTATGGCTGTCTCCTGTCTGCCTTATTGTCTCAACTGAGGCAAGCAAATTGGTTTCCAGCCCATGTTTTCTCTCCATATCTGGGCATCCAATTTATTTTTGTATCGAAGCAGTTTTATTGTGTAGATTCTTGGATTTTTAAAACCTTTTACTAGGACAGACAGTCCTGCTCATTTAGTTTAGTGATTAGGAAATGTGCCAGCACAGAACAGACATAGTTAATTATTAAGAACAAAATTCCTCCCAGCACCCCTCAGACAGTGCAGACTAAGCAGGATTTTTCAGTTCTGGAGCTTACAGAAAGTGCATCTAAAAAAAGGTAAGCTGTAATTTTTAGATTTTAAATAAAGTGAATGGGAAAATGAAATATAAAGTAGGCGTTATCTCAATTAGGCTGCAAAAGGGGAAATCCAATCTTTTGTTTAAATGAATGTATCTACATACTCTGTAAAGAGATGTGTTACATATCAGTGAAATATAATTATGGAAAATGAATAATTCTAGAAAATTAATAATAGTCTAAAGGGCACCAAGCCAGTTAGACCAGTACAGACTTCTGTTTGCCTGGCCAATAACTAAAGCTGGCCATACACTGCTCTTTTTTCGTTCAACCCATGGGCTGAACGAAAAAAATAGAGCAGATTCCTCCATCAACAATATGGGAGCGTTGATCGAGGAATCCCTGCTGTTTCTTTTGTATTTTCAGAATGCCTGAACAGAGCCAGCAGTTCATTGGTTCCCGGCTCTGTTGTATGAATATTTTCCAACCAACTCCTTCAATCAGCTGATTAAGGGTTGCCGGTTGAAAAGGTGCTGACAGCGAATTTGCACAATGTATGCCCACCTAAAGGCTCTTCCTAAGAGATTCCAAATTTTGCCAAGCCAACTAGGAGCGATGATCTCTCCAACATAATACATCCTTAAAATTGGAAGCGACTGAACAGATTCAGCTGCACCCCTTTCAGAGGTCATGCATACAGGATTCAAATCTCTTCAAGAGTTTTCTCTTGATACAAATGATCAGAAATTACACAAAGGATAGCTGTTGATCTAATTCACAGCAGCTTTTGAAGCTTAACTTGTATTCTTCCTTCCCAAACACGCATTTGTATTTACCTTGTTTAATTCTTAAATTTAAAAATAAAAACTACATTTGCATATGTCTTGTTTCAATATCTATCAGACCAAAGATTACAGTATATTAGATACAGTATAAAGATTACATTATAGTTTACAGTAAATTTTGATATCAAGGCTGCGACACCCTGAGCTATACTTCAAAATGAATACTGTAAGTGATTTATGGCTGCTTTGTTATGATATTATCACACATTATAAGTACTATTCTGGATAATGAATGAGCAAAGGTCAAACAATATTGCTTGAATGAGCAAAGGTCAATGTACCTCTGTAACCGGACAATGGATCCGTGCATACCACTCTTGGGAGTACAGACAGACCTGAATGCCCTGACCAATGATCAGGAAGGTCCATACTATTATATTGTACATTGGGTTTGTCCGTTTATCATTGATTGCAAAATTAAACAGCACTATAAAACAAAAGAATACATGGGAGAGAGACGTTATTCACAGTACAAATATTTGTATAAATGACAAAGGGGAATTTATCAAAACTGGAGCAGACAAAATCTGGAGCAGCTGTGCATTGCAACCAATCAGCTCCTCTTTTCAGTGTGTTCAGTTGAGGTTTGAAAATGAAGGAGAGAAGCTGATTGGTTGCCATGCACAGCTGCTCCAGATTTTGTCTCCTGCCATTTTGATAAATTCCCCTCATAGTGTATGCAAACTGCAGCAAAATAAAACATTCCACAGTATGCTACAACCACCATAGTCTTTAACAAGCATTTAAAAAAAAGAAAAGTGCAGTAACCTATGACAACTGATCGAAATTCATCTTAAAGTGATTTATTTTCCGTAATCTGGTTACTATGGGCCACTGCACCTTAGTTTTGCCATTAAAAGTAAGGTATTTTAACATCACCTTAGACTAGGCTGTGTGTTTCTCCAAATTCTCATTACTTGCATTCGACACAATTCTTTTTTTTTTTTTTTTTACATTTTATAAATAATTCCCAGTTAGGAGCTTTTAATTGCTGTAGGCAGGCTCCAGGACAAGTGCACTCAGCACAAGATATAGCATGTAGAAGCCATCAAACTACCCCACATTGCTGTCCTTTCATGCTACTTTAGAGCCTTGCTTGCTCCAGTGGGCTTGGCAGTTTCCGCTAAAATCTAGACATGTAAAGGCTCAAAAAATGAGTTTGTTTCAGATCAATTCAAGATTTTTCTATTGGATTTTGGATCCAAAATTCGATTAGTTATTCAGATCGATTTACATTTTTTATTTTCTGTTCAAATCGATCTGAATTTTTTGTTTTTGGTTTGGATCAATTCAAATCCTAATTTTTGAGGGGTTGTATTTTGGTCATTTTAGTTCTGTACTGGTCCTCTTAGTCCGTACAGGTCATTAGAATTGGTATTCGGATGAAATTCAGGAAAAAATTCAGATGCATTAGAATTTAAATTCGAATGCATCTGAAATTCGGATAAATTAGAATTTGGAAATTTGGATGCACCCAAATGTCCAAATTTAAGGAAATTCCGCAGAATTTCAATTCAGAACGAAATGAAACTTACATGTCTAATAAAATCTACTTACAGCCCGGTCATTGGAATCTTCACAAGCACAGGAATAACTTGCAGAGGACATTAAGACCCCATGCAGATTGAAGAGACCTGCAAGATTCTCAATAATATTACCCAGAGGTGAACTTGAAACCCACATTCCTGACACATGATACCAACTACACAAGTAATAAAAAGTTAAAAAGGGAGTTCATATTTTCTAACATACATTCTACTAAACTGCTATAAACATTTTATTGTTAATGTCAGATATGACCTCAATCTTTACCTCCTAAAATAGCAAAGAGGCAAAACATAACCGGGTAAAAATAACCAAGTGCCATTGTGAGGGCATATTCATGAACAGCAGCCGATATGAGAAACACAGCCAGCATTGCTCCTGACCGAAACTTCTGGTTCAGCAGCTGAAAGTAGAAATAATAAAACATTTTTTTTTTTTAAAGATGGAAACTGTTTGTCTATTTGTGTCTCTTTACCAGGTCCTTACCCACAGCAGGTCTTGGTACACATAATAAAACAGCCAGTCATGGATCACCACATTCCATGTCCGGTAATAGTTAGAGAATGAAGTAGAATTCCACCAGTCCTGTGAAAACAAAACCGAAATAAAATGGGTAATTTAAAAGACTGGAGAAAACAAAAAGTAATTATATAAGAAACCATTTAGGTTCTACATATCATTTACAAAGTAGAGGTTTATTTAAATCAGATAAACAGCTAACCATATATACAGTTCCATATCCAATAGCGAAGTGTGTAAGTATATGGGAAAATATCTAAAACCTGAAAAAAGAAAATCCCTTTAACACTTCCAACACCAAGTAACCATAAATGACCATAACCACTCACAAACAGAAACCGCAAAAGTTAGAAAATGTATTAGGAAGATAACATAACCCATGCAAGAGGACATTCTTTGGGAAGGTATTAAAAGAGAAGTAATTCTGCCAGCACAATCTGAATAAAAGTCGTTTAATCTTGGGTGTCCAGTAATATTTGCATTGAACACCATTTGTGGTCTCTGTAAGAACTCCATCGTTGATTTAAAAAAAAGAGAGAGAAAAAAAAAATGTATACCAAGGAATAAGAGATTCCTTAAAATATGGGTATGATTTCTCGTATAATCAAGAGTAAAACACTCTGTATGTATACTAACCATTTTTACCAATCTCTTAGGCCAGATCTGATAATATTAGGGATCCTCTTCACCTTCTTCCTCCCATGGTGGATGAATCCTAAATGCTGAAGAGAGCAATGCCACTTAATGACGTGGCACCACTTTATGAAGCATTTTCCTTTAAGCACAGAGTAGAAGAGCATGTTTCTTTCCAGCATGCTTCAGAGAAGGAACAATGCTCCATGTAGAAGCAGTGGTCTATCTGTAGAGGTCCGACACCCCCCTGCTGTGTCAGACCTAAAAGGTCTGTAATTGGTAAAGCTCATGCGGTTTCTTTTGCCAGGCAAATATGTATTTTAACTTTGCATTCAACTGCCTATAGGTCCAATCTATGTTATCTGCCAGCAGGCAGGTAAACTCACCTGAGTGTATCCAGAATGGCATATATGTGTGTCCCAGGTTCAGGATGTATGCAGATTGTTTTCCACCAGAGGGAGTGCTGGGAGGCTGGAATGGTAGAGGTAATGAGCCCAGCTGAAGTAAACTGACTCATTAGGGCCTCTATAAGAACTCCCAGACTTCTCAGAGAATGGCTCCACTCTGGAACCAGTTTACTGCCTGAGTAGACTGGGGAGCTTTCTACTGACCTGTGGCGACAAAAGAAAACAAATCTCGTGTGGTGAGACACAGCCTGTGTGGCAGTTGCTTGAATAGGGAGATAGGTGCTAGGGGCAGCACAAGGTTGCACCTACTTGGTAGTGAGGGATCCTGTGTATGTAGTAAGTGGCCAACAGGCCAGGATTTACTTTCATGTTTTGTTTGTTTTGCTTAAATTTTCTTGTAACTAGTTATAAATAAACTGCATGTGTGTTTCACTCGAAGAAATCCTTGTTTGCTGTGCCTAGTTTTTGTGGTTTGAACTCATCCAGGGGGTCACACACACCCGCTGCCGCTCTAACACCCTCACAGTTAGCAATAATAAAGATTTTGCTCCTTTTTGGTTGCAAGATATTGGAACTACCCCTGCCCACATTCTTCCAGAATACTCCAATACTTACAGAATATTATTTTCCTATACATCTACCCATATACTACTTGATTAACATTAAGGGGTCTATTCACAAAAGGATGAAGAGTTTGGAGAAGGCAGGAGAAGTGAACAATCTAGGACAACATAGCTGAACTGGAAAGTGAGCTGAATTGGAGAATGTTTCCAAATCGGCTATTTTGTCCTAGATTGTTTACTTCTCCTGTCTTCTCCAAACTCTTCACCCTTTAGTGAATAGACCTGTAAGTAAAACTCAAACATTAGGCTTGACTACAGAATAAGCAGTGAAAAGATGTCACCTTATAAAACATGCGATCTGCAAATCGAAGAATCTCTGCAAAAGTATTCAGCCAGCAGTGCAAGAGGCCAAAGAATGACAGCAGCAGTATAAGTATACCTGTAAGAACACAATAACCACAATAAAACATTTTATAGCGGAGAGTAACAAGTATAATACATCTAAAACCTGAATAAATGATTTTTGAAAAAGAAAAATTAAAAATCGACCTCTGACAGGGCAACATGAGAAAGGGAATGAGGGAAAAATTATATCACCCTCTATGTTCTGATATCAATGTGTATTAATATTCTTTGCGCACAGTAAACATACAGAAGTGACAGTACACTAGGCACTGCCGACCAGTGCACAAAAAGAGGCATATGCATAGGAAAAAGGAAAAACATCTTCAATCCAACAGGCCACATGGGCCTACTAACCTACTAACTGGTATTCCCCTGATTCTTTCTATACATAGACTAAGTTAAAAAGGGGCAGATATCCTTTTTACCTGGTAGTGTAGCATGGAAGACGGATAACACCAAAGTCTTTGTACTGAATGGCAGTTTGCTCATGTTGGTAAACACTGGAGTGCACAGGGTGACCACGACATAGTATACGAAAAAAATGCAGCCCAAGAACTATCAATGCCATAAAAAGATTATTAGATAAACATAACAAGATATATACAATTGAGTAAATAATATTAACAATATAACATGCAATTTGCGATTACCCGATACTGTCTTTTTAGTGGAAGCTTATTAGTGGGCATTTCTTGATAGATTTAAATGGTAATTCCAAAAAATATTGTAATTTCAGTTTTAGGGTAGATGGGGTCTTAATGACCTACTGTCCAGAAAAATTTGGGGTATGATCTAGGGAAGATCTCGTAACAATCTTCTAAGGTTATAACATCAGCTTTGTGGCATTATCCAGACCAGCTATTTTCCTTACATAATCCTATAGAACATCCATACGGTGTGGAAGATACCAGTATTCAGCATGAAGACTAACTAGACCTTTTGTGGCCCTGGTGGGTGCTGAGCCAAGTATTATGGGGAGACATTTTCCCTGGGATTCCCAAAATTTTACAGAGGCCGATTCATTGGGATTTTGTTACATAGTAGGTAAGGTTGAGTAGAGACACAGGTCCATCCAGTTCAGTGTGTGTGTGTGTGTGTGTGTGTGTGTGTGTGTGTGTGTGTGTGTGTGTATTTAACTGGCTCTTAGTAGTTCCCATATCCAACTATACTTGGTAAACTAAGAAACTCATCTAGACATTTCTTAAATTTGTCAATGCTATCAGCAGATACTATTGACTGTGAAAGGGAATGCCACACTTTTACTACTCTCACAGTAAAAAAACAAAAACCTTGCACAGTCTAAGATTAAACCGCCTGTCTTCTAACCTCCTGTTGTGCCCTCATGTCATCAATAGACTTCTTGGTGTAAACATTTTCTTCTGGATATTGTGGTCCTCATTAATGATTTTTAAAATCGAAAAATCGGTCCCCTCTTAATCGCCTCTTTTTTTAGGGAGAAAAAGTTTAATTTCTCAAGCAGATTTACATAACTCAGGCCTTCCATCCGCTTCATCAATTTTGTAGCCCTTCTCTGAACTGTCTCAATACAAAATTAGTAAACTAAACGTGAGACTGTAGTCCATCACAGGAGTGAGCTTGGAGCAGTGGCTACTTTGCAGCACACACAGGGGCCATGGGGAACAAAAGTAGCCAGGGTCAGCGTGAATTCAGAGATGATTGGAGGAGCTACATTTTTGTTAATAGTTAAGGTACTTGAATGCATTTTTTAGATTTAACTCCTGAGTTTAGTGTCACTTTAAAGTGGATCTCTCAGCCATTTTAAATAGAGGTGCACCAAAATGGAAATTTCAAAACCGAAACAAAACCAAAATACAAAAAATTGTCAGGCTGAAACCGAAAATGTTTTTTTTATTTCAATTTTTTAAAATGTTTTTAATATTTTATTTTTATTTATAAACTTTTTATTTTTTTATATTTATTTTTATTTATTAATTAACTTTTAGTAAATATTTTTATTTTTTACTTTACTTTTAGGGGCTTCAGGGCAATATTAGGGGTCTAAACAGACCCCTAATGTTTCCTTTTTAAAATAGAAAAAGAGATTGAGGACCCAGAGTCCTCAATCTCTTTTTCTGCATCCCCTGTTATCAATGAACATAAATCTTCTATACTGAGTGTTCCTGTTCATTCATAACTAGAGAACATTGTGTGTTTACTATAATGACAACTATGAATGAACAGGAGGGGATGTAGATCACTCCCATTCATTCATAAGTGAGGATATAGTAAACATACCATGTCCTCAATTATCTACAAATACTCAGCGATCACTGGTCGCTGAGTGTTTGCACTTGCTTTCCTCTCTGACACACACTGTCACAGGAGGCTGAGCATGCGGTGCAGGGAGGAGAGCTCAGCCTCCTGTGGCAGCGTGGGCTGTCTCCGGCCCACACACCGCTCTGCAGGACTGTGATAAGGGGCTGAGCGGTGTGGAAGGAGAGACGCCGCCCTCTCACATCGCTCTCCTCCCGCAGCGCTCGGCTGTCACACTTTTTCTCTTCCCCGCTGGGACACAGAGCAGCGCCCAGCAGGGAGGAAAGAAACCTGGGATGCGCTGATGTATCGGCAGGAAAATGGCACTTTCGGCATTTAGCCAAAAGTGCCATTCTCTGGCCGACATATCGGTGCATCCCTAATTTTAAACATTTAAAGAGTAAAAGTACTGTCTACGAGCAGATACCACATAAGAAAGCATCTATTACCTCCATTACGTAGGGTACTCCCCTCTGTGTGGCATTCTGAAACTAGTTTCACTGTGTTGCCAGTGGCCAGACGATGTCCCGCCTCTGGCATTCAACTGAAACACTTCATCAATGCTCCAATAAGACCAATATGTCTTGTGTGGAATTTCCTGCTAGCATTCCCCTGTCCAATGAGAGTGATCTAATTGGCCACGAAAGCTCTCAAATTGGGCAGAGGGCTAGCAGTTGGCCAGACTTAGTACTGAAGTACAAATATAAATAGCCCTCTAGAGCCACTGGTTCTGTACTGCTCTAAAATGTATACATGTACATGTTTTATACATGTGCAGAAATGGTCAGATTATTGTTTAAAATGTCTATAAACCTAACTTTACAAAACATGGCATGATAGTCCCTAATCTGATTAGAACTTTGTACCTGGTAATATCAGCATCTGCCATTACACCCACAAATATAGATTTTTAAAATAGGTTACTTAGATTTCCCATTTGAGAGTGGCTTCTTTCATTCTACATGGTCCCACTATATGCGAGAATGTGGCCACCCTCCTTGCTGTGCTCTGGAAATGAACTACACAAGTACATGTAACGCATCTGGCGCTGGCAAGTACAAGCACTGTAAACCTCCCATTCATTAACACAAATCAGCAAGTCAATATTTACTGGAAACAGAGTTTGAGGAGAGCAGTATACAAGACTGCAAATATGTGCACTGCTTGTACTCAAAAAAATAGAAGTAAAGGGTAAAGAGCCTTCTGTGGTGAACGCTATTATTTGGGGATTTTAATAAATAGATGGTAATTTAGGACAGTATACTGACTTAAAGTGACATTAAACCCTCAGATTTTTTAACATAAACCAATACTGTCATGTGTGCCTTACTGTAATCCATGGTTGTTTCCCTTCTCTTTGCTGCTCTTCCTTTTAAATCCTCATGTCTCCTCATGCTTGGGGAGAACTTCCCTTTGCAGCTGAGTGCCTCTTCCTGTAGTGCTGGCTCAGGTTGTGAACCTGCACACAGACACCATGTATCCATTTCAGAGACAAGGCAGTCTGCTGCAAAACAGAAGTTCTGCCCAGCATGAGAAGAGATACGGATTTAAAAAGGAAGAGCAGCAAAGAGAAGGGAAACTACCATGGATTACAGTAAGGCACATATTACAGTATTGTTTTATGTTAAAAAATCTGAGTGTTTAATGTCACTGTAAGCTATTTTTTAAAGGAGGATCATTCAGTGACACATTAGTGAAAGAGGTTATCATATTTGCATTCACCAGTTCTAAGAGAAATTTGATGTGGCAAAGATTACAGTAATTCCTACAATAATTATTTTTTTTACATAACATGCAACAAATAATAAATACATTAACAATTCATAATTAATGTCCTACCTGTAAAAAGTACTTGAATACATATTTCCACCTGATGTATGGGGTTCTGGATAAAAACAGGAATAATAGTGAAGTCCACACATTTCTTTCACACTTTAGTCAGGGAATGGCACTACTACCATTGAATCTTTAGTGGTGAGGTTGCAAAGAAGAGTTTGTATTGGAAATGGTAGAGCTTTATAAACCTGACATCTGTAAACCTGAAACCAACACCCAGTGACATTCCAAAAAGTTCTCAGAGGATAGGTTTTAAAATAAACACACAATCTATAAATCATTTTTTTGAAATTGATTTGAGACCAGAGAGAGCACATAGCTGCAGCTTGTGAGTTTTGTCCAGGCCCAGGCTGGGGCAATCTTGTATTTGTCAGAGGATCTGGTGTGTTAGAGTAGTACACGTGAGATGCATTAAACTCCTAAGGCCAGGTCACTGATATTTATACTCATGTAAATAAAGTTGCAAAATATCTGAATATCACGCCAAGTCAGCAGTGTTCGGTCAATATTAACATAGACAAATGCAACTGGTTATAATTTACCTGCCACGTTATATATATTTTTTTTTTTTACTACAGACGTTGTAACTGCCAGATTGTGCAACGTACCCTTATCAATACAGGTTACTGAAATAAGTGGTGACAGAAATAAGAAGAATAATGCAGATTAGACACCGGAAGCTGCCAATTGGTCCAAATCCATTGAAAATCTGTTGCAGCAAGTTGTCCGGGAGCCAACAAAACCTGGATGGCTAATGTGTGCAAATACATTAAAAACTGATTAAAGCGAAACTACAACCTCCTATACCTTACAGCAAAGGAAGGAGCCATCTTAGCCTCTATTTGGATTGCAGTTGCCATGGTGCTGTACATGAGATCAGCTATGACACCAGTCATTTGAGTGCTTGAAAAGTTTGGTTGAGAGCTGAAATAAGCATACGGGCACCCTTAACAGTTGGTGTACCTTAAAAGGAACTGTTTAGGGAGACATTAAAGTAGCATTACAGTCTCTTTTGTTTGGTATATATCTACTGCAAGTAAGAAATGGTTCTTATATTACTAGTCCAGTAAATGGCTTTTACCTGGGATAGCTGTCTCTATAGATAAGAGTTGGACAGAAGAGAAAATACAGGTAACTGGAATGTTTTGGCAGCTGAACCTCTTTTTCTGTATAAAGAAATACATAGAAGGTATATTAGCACTACATCTGCAGTATGTGAACATGTGCCATGCCCTATCCTACAGATATCACTTTTGTGCCTACATTGGTAGGCACTAACAATCTTTAAAAGGGCCTAATCACACCATAGCGCCTTTAGCGCACACTATTGCGCAGCACAGTGCACCTCACATTAGGTGCACCAGTGCATTGCATTGCTATTCACTCTGGCAGTACTGCACTAACAAATGTGGTGTTGCCATTTAGCGAGTATACACTAACACTAGTATATGCCCCTTGGAAGGTGCATTGGGGTGCCATTCAGCATCAACGGCAATGCAACGCACCAGCAGATACTGTGCCTTTGGCCAAATGCTATGATACGAAGAGGCCCTGATCCCAAATTTGACAAAACAGTCTGTCTGAAGTCCATATTTGCTGCACCTTAGATTAAATTTCTCCAAGCAAAAATATACCCCTGATGCTTTGGGAAATTTTGTCTAAGGTGCAGCAAATTTGGACTTCAGACAGACTCCAGCAGTCATGTGTTCTAGGCTCTCCCATCTCTTGGGAGTGCAGCAACTTGTGTTGCTGTTGAAGACCTTTTGGCTGGACAAAAACTTTGTGCTGTGGCTCATATGTGTCTTTTAGGCTAGGTGCACACTTGCACTACATGCACGACACCCGGGACGCGCGATTGCCACGCAGCCCCATTGATTTCAATGGGGTGACATTTGTGTGGCAATCGCAGAAAAAAGGTACAAGTATTTTTTTTTTTTGCGATACACGACATGCAGCTGTTTTAGCAGCGATCGTGTTCGGAAGCACGGACAGAATTGTGGTGGGAAACCGCGCGATCCGCCTGGCGCGACTGGGGTGCCATTAGAAAATAATGGCACCCACAGCGCGATCGGCTCACACCTTGGCGACTCCTGACGGCATGGCAATCCGCCCGGAATAGGGATGAACCGAGCCTCGGACACATATTATCCCCCGCCCCCAAACACCCCCAGCAAAAAAAAATCACCCCTACGCTCCCTAAAGTAAAAATCCCCTACAAAAAAGAAACCCCCCTCAAACATTAAACAGCAAAAGAGAAATTCCTAACCTTTCTTTACACAGAATAATTAGTTAATATGAATAATTTGTTAAATGGGTCATTCACAAGTTGGGTACGGGTTAGTTTCTTGTAACAAATACAAATTTGTGCATTCTACTTTGTTGGTGGACTGATGATATTGGTAGCAGTTTCCAAACAGAGGAGAATAAACTTATTTTACATAGGTGTCAATTCAGACGTTAGAGTGGACACAAAACATACCTTCCTTCTGTAGGACAGCTGGAGCAGCCTCTCTTAAAAATGAGTGACTCTTCATAAGCAATCGAACCTGTATGTAGAAGACAAATTTAGATTTATAAACATAGACCTGCTTGTCAAGGTTGCACTCCGCTTCAAGCATTTGTCGTTGTCATATTTTGTTTGTTTCCTGATAAATCAATTGTTATGGAGGCTCTTTAGAGTAATAGATGACATCTGACCTTTTGACAATCTGAAAATATGCTGTATGACATCTTGTTGTATTAATCTGCTTATGTTTCAACAAAAAAATTTTTTTGCTAAAAAAAAAAAAAAACATAGACCTGCGAGGCACAACTGCAGTGGGGAGCAAAAGTGAAGGCCTGTCTACTTATGGCTTGTGTGGGAAATTAAAACTCATAGCCAACGTAAGCAAAGCATCAGCTTCATGTTTTCAATAATGGGGAATTATAAAAATAATACAATCCTCTCAGTCTTCATTCAGCGGCTTTACTCTCCATTATAACTCTCATGACTGTAGCTGTTCCTAAAAACAACACTAGTGGGATCATTGAAACAACTACTTATATGGCCAGTAGTCCTGAGCTATATACTGTAGGTGCTCTGTAAAGGTTCACTCAGTTCATACCACCAAGTATATGAGGCACTAAAGGAGACCTTCTCTACGGCATTCATTTGTCAAAGGAAGAAATTTCGGGGGGTGTAGCAGTACCCCCCTCCATACTATTTTTGCTACTCCCTTTTCTCAGCAAAGTAAAAAAAAACAATTTTAGATTTAAGGTCATAGAGGTAGCATAAAATCTGGAATGAGCCTAGACAAACCAAACTAACATTTTACATTTAAAGGAAATCTATACTGAAAGAAATAAGTAGGCTGCCACTAATCCACTCGGGGGAGCCAATGACTGGAAAGGGTGCCACAACATGGCTGGTGATATAAGAATATTTCCTGAAAGAGCAACAGTGCATATTACTAACCACCCTTGTGTAATAAACTTTTCACCTCAACAGACCCTTTTGTCCAAGATCTCTAACATGCATGGATCATGCAGCATCTCTTGTTCCCATTGTTGTTACATTGTTTTTGGGCAAAATTTATAAAAAGAAAAAACTATTCTATTGTAGATACAGAACTCACCTGTTCAAAGATGACGATGAAACTTGATGCTGGAGGCAACTGATAACGTTTTACCACATAGACAGGGAAAATACAAAGTACACATATATGACTCACAAGTAGGAATATGCCTACAAAGGCAGACAGCAAACGTTTGTGTTTGGATTTGGGATACAAAGACCCCCAAAAGACTAGCGCTTTATAAGGCACCAACAGAGTATATACAAACATACAGATCCAGGACCATGCCACAGTGCCAGGTTGTCCAAAGGAATAAAAGAGAAGGTTAAATTCATAACCCACCCTAGAGAGAGAGGAGAGGTTAGAATTACTGGTATGCAACACATTTCCGTTGTGGTGATATATTTTACACATATGCATGCACTCGCACAGTTTATTTTTGATAAATACAAAAAAAACCCAGTGAATCCTTATAAACAAAATGTAATATAGACCCTGTAACATCATCATAGTCATGACTAATGACATCATTTTTTACATAATGCCTTTATCTTCATGATACATGCAGATAATGAATTTACAGACTGGAAACACTGAGATGCAAACTTTACTATGTTTTAGGGCAGTGGTTCCCAACAAGTACCCCCTCGGCTACTTGGCAGCACATTTAGGGGTACTTGAGAATATTTTTGTAATGGTGGAAACCAACTGCTCAGTGTCTGCAACCTCCCTCTGCCAATCTCACCACTGGCTTCCAATAGCCCAAAGGATAAAATTCAAAATATTAACAACCACTTACAAAGCCATCCACAGCTCTGCCCCCGGATATATCTCAAACCTTGTCTCAAAGTATCACCCTAACTGTCCCCTCCGCTCTTCCAAAGACTTCCTACTTTCCAGCTCCCTCGTCAACTCCTCCCATGCTCGCCTCCAGTACTTCTCTAGAGTCTCTCCAATCCTCTGGAACTCTTTGCCCCAACCTGTCCATCTATCTCCCACTCTGACTGCCTTTAGGCGATCCCTAAAGACTCATCTCTTCAGGGAAGCCTATCCCACCTCGAACTAACCATTCAACCATCACGTTCTCAAACAATTCATCCCCACACAGCTACCTCCTCATGTATCACTTGCCCCTCCCTTTAGATTGTAAGCCCTCACGCTATATAAATCCTGTGTAATAATAATAAAGCTGTGGCAGTGAGGAGTCAGGGGCTAGAGTAATCCTACAGCTGCATTTCCCAACACTCATTCTATATTTCTGGCTAGAAATAGTTAACCCCCAGCGGAGTGATGTGTCGTTCACTTTTCTTATGTGCAAGAAGCCCTGGATCCAGGGAATCCAGTGTAACAGAGCACACCCCAAAGAGAACCCAAGATAACAATGAACACACCACCGCAATGGCATGCCCCAAATATACCCCCATCCCAGCTTCTTTCATTTCACTGACACCAACACAGTGGCTGTTTGTGCAATTTGGCCACATCTACCAGTCTGCACAGCACACTATATGCTTCACTATTAACCTTGCCCCCTGTCCACCCCCACTGAGGGGTACAGTTTATACAAATGGACTGCCAAGGGGTACGCAAGCAAAACGGAGTTTGGGAACCACTGCTTTAAGGCAATCACAAGTTTTGGAACAATAGGCATAGCAGCCCATGATGCTACTAACGGGCCCGGGGGGGGAGGGAATAGGGCCACATTAGGTGTGCTTTTGAGGTAATTTAAACATAGAAAATCTGTGGGCTTGAGAAGATAAGACATACCCAATTTCCATAACTCTGGTCCTTAGTAGTGTACCAGCTATGATGACAACTCTCCTGCTACCTGTCTTTGATCTAGATATACTTTATGTTAAGATCAATAACAGCAGAAAGGTTGCCAGGGCCCTATAAAAGTTTTACTATGGGGCCCCACGAACTGTAGTTACACTCAGTGGTGGACCTAATAACCAAAGGGCCCTTGTGCAAGATATTATCTTAGGCCCCCCTCCCAAGACAGTGTGAGGGGGTGCAAGAGCGGTTCACACTGGCCCCTGAATCCCCCCAGTGGTCTCTAATGTTGCAGTAGCGTCCTGGACTCTGGACTTACCTGAGACCCTGCAGAGCACATCATAGATCCTCCATAGCCCACCTGAGACTCTCTATGGTGGGCTCTGCAGGGTCCCAGGTGTGCTGGTCTTTGGGGTCCTTTTCCCTGTACCTCCTCCCAACTCTTCTTGCCTGCTGCTGCTGGGGCCCGGCCTCCTCCACCCTCTCTAGTCACTTCTGCCATGCCGCCCCTGGTACAGCTGATACTCATGTAAGGTACCCCCAGGCTGCCCAGACCACTCACACGGGTACCGGCCATACCCCTCTGATGGCGGTGTTCTATCAAAGTTTGCGACTACGTTAAAATGTGTGACTGATGACGTGGTCACACGTTTTAACGTAATTCCGCACAGTTTTTCGGCGGTGGAATGTGTGACCGCCAATAGGTGAAGAATTCCAATGCTTTGTCAGCTGTTCCAGGGCAGATCTGCATCGCAGATGGTATGTGCAGGAGAACCGATCTGCCCTGGAACAGCTGATCGGTCCTGAAATGTCACTTCTATCCGACTTTGTGACTGCAATCTCACATTCCACCGGACTCACAAAGTAGGATAGAAGTGACCCCTGCGCTTAGGACTCACCCAGCCAGCAGCGCAGGATCGGAGCCAGACTGTGTTTGCACTGCATGGGGCGGGGTGTGTGACACACACACTTCACATTTCCCGCCGCCTGTTGCTAGAGACGCGGCCAGGAGAGGAGGACCTGCCCCCTTACTGAGACGCCAGTGGGCAGTGTTCTAACACCGGGACCCTACACTGCCCCATATTCCACGGGGGTGCCCAGGACCGGACCTCACTGGGCCCCCCCCCCCCTCCCCCCACAGTCTCAGGCCCTGGTGCGGCCGCACTGGTGGTATTTCCACCCCTGGTTACACTCCTGGCAATCAACATATAGTATTGTTAACAGAGAAATCTAAAGGCCCTTTAGAGATGCTGGCCTGCTTTAACCTGCTATAATCCTTACTGCTAAAAAGTCACAGAAAACGTAACAGACGATAAATAGAAATTGAACATTTGGAGATTCTACTAACCTTCCTTGTTCAATGATATCCACAGCAGCTGTACTAATCACAAAAACACAGAGGGCAGCCACAAACATGTGGTAAATGGTTCGGAAATGTTCCACCTCCATCAGGTCACTATACAAAGAGGAGATGCAACAAAATGAATAGGAGGCTGTACTCATTACACATCTTCTGGCCTGAATAAAGTGGTGGCTAAAACACACAGGATTCACCCCAAAGAAAAACAAAACAAAATTAAATCAGGTTTTGATTGATCAATAACAGACTAATATATCATTTACACCATCTACTAAACATAAATGTACAATATATTTGCATTCATGTGTAGCACTCACCCCCGAAGGAGCCGCTGAGTATACCGGGTATTTCTTTCCCCCTGCACCAATGTACTGCCCAAATGTGGATCTACAGCACACTAACACACCTTTAAAGGGTTTTATAACAGGTTTAATGACTAACAGTGTAAAAAAGTATGAAATAAGGCACTTAGGGGCTCAACGGTCAGATAAATCTAATCCGTGTATGCTATCTATTGCATACACGGAAACCTGCAACACTAATATCTCCCCTTGAAAGTATCTGACCCACTCCAAACTTCCGGTCCAGTAGTAATGTCCTAGGCTAGCCAATGTTGGGGCCCATGCTGTATAGCAGATGCAGAAAGCACAATGTCACAATGGCCAAATGCCTCTCACCACTCCCAGGGCTACTTTGGAAAGGATGATGACTGTCAGCAGAAGATGAACGTCCCTCTTTCTTCAAACCGACACTTGTGAAGGAGGTGAAGTCATCTAGGGACCCTTGCAGCACATCTCCGCTCGTCTAGGGTCGTCTAAGGTACCAGGCAACGATCTCCGTTCGGCTCCGCTCACTCAGCTGGGCTGGCTGGATCACTCCTATGGCTGGATCGGCCGCGATATCCTTGCCACGTCACTAGGCCTCAGTTCAGGCGCTTGGTCACAGTCTTTCCGTCTCAGCAGACGAACATCAGTCTCTCAGAGCACTGCTGCACAAAGCCTGTGTGTCCCTGTATGTCAGTGGTGACCACACAGCTCTGTTACATGCAATGTTAACTCACACTGTGTGACACAGATCTGCACTCTTCAGATGGCTGTCCCAGACTGAGCGCGCTCACCAGCTGCAGCCTTCCTGTCGCACAGCATCCAGGGAGTTTCAGTTCTAAAGGTCCTACCAGTAATGTATCCATATCTGCTCTGCAGTGCAATCCCCATAAGTCTCCGCCTCGTATCACACACAGAGGCATTTAACTGTTTGCAGTCAGAAAAACAGATCTCTACAGTAGCACATATATGCATCTCTATCACCCCTTTCACACGAGCAGTCAGGTTGCCAGGTTTCCAACCCTCTGTTTGCAGATGAAAAGCGGACAACAATGCATCTCTATGGAGGTGTAGATGAAAACCGATGACCATCAGTTCAGTTTACATCAGGAAAAATCAGTGTCAGTTTAGATCCGCAATGTGAGACAGATTAGCTCTCTATTTTGACTGACTCAGTTCAGGTTACGTCTGTTTTTTTTTAGACTGATGTCGTAATGCAGCATGGCAAGCTCAATGGCAAGCTCAATGCATGCTGGTAGAAAGCAAAGAATCATGGGAATTTACCATAATAAAAAAAAGTCTAAAACGGATGTAAACTGAACTGACAAAGGATGTGCAAACTGATGTAAATGGACTTTGTTTTTATCAATTATTTTGTATCCGTGAACCTTAACTGAATGGACGACGCTCGTGTGAAAGGGGCCTAAAACATAACTAAAACATACAGGTTGTACAGTATCTCCATCTGCAGTAAACAAATATATTGAAAATTATTGGAGATATCTACTTACTCGAGCAGGGAAGCACGATGTACAAATACTTTCCTCCTTTCAGACACTGATTCCTGGGATCTAAATAGCAAACAGCAATACTGTGTATTTAAATATAAAGTATATCACGCATCAAAATTCAGTTTTTCAATGTAGTATATTAAATAAATCTGGAAAATAAACATAGCAAATGGCAAAAAAAAAGGATAGATTTCATTTCCCAGATCTAAAACGCAGCAAAATTGGATACTGAACTTGAAATTTCCCATCTATATGTAATTAACCTAAGTTAAGATGCTGTGCATTCCATATGATAAATGGATGCCAAATGGAAGAAGGGTAGTTGTTAAAGTCAGCAGGGAAGGGACTTTATTCATAGAATGTCCCAACACACTACTCTCCATTAGTTATCACTATTCAGCCCAGTAAAGACAACAGGTACTACTTTAAAGTAGTAATACATACCGCCCAGATCAGTGTCTGCAGTGTCTGCAGTGTCTGCAGTGGGTACAGACAGATGTTTCTCATTAGCTGTGGCCGCTTAGCCTGCGCAAATCAATGACAGGCAATCAATGAAGGAGATTGCTGACGCCACTTTTGGACACTCTCAGAGCAGCTGATGTACCATATAGATGGGGTTACCCGATTAGCTTAACGGCCAAAAAAACTGACAATCTGTGACTTTACGTTTCCAGAATAGATAGAATCTTTCTGTGCGAAAGTTTGAGATTACTGTCCCTAATCTTTAGGGTTGGAGAAACGAAAGCTATACATTCCCACAATTGCCAGATCAGAGATGGTCTGCTCCCAACAGGAAATAACGTATAGAAGTGAACTCCAATATCTAACAAATTAGGATTAATATTTTAGGTCAACGTGTAGGAGCACTCATGGCCCCCCTTTCCTTTCTTTTATTCTTTTTCTTATCATTTATATTTTTAATAAAGATTTTTACCCAAACCTATTAGATCAACGGTCGAGCTAAACCCAATAGAAGTGATATTATCCAGTCCATCACATCCAAAGAAAAGTATATCACTGATGCCCCATCTGTTGGCACAAATTTACTCCACACTGACCCAGGGTTTATGCGGCAATGGGAGGAGGACTTGGGGATTCAGAACAAGGAAAATTAAGGGTTCTGCAACAAGTATGTAGAACCTCAGTATCCTCCCACATAGAGGAGATGAACTATAAACTTCTGTCGAGATGGTATCTTACACCGGTTAAATTACACTCAATAGACCCTAGTAACTCACCACTATGTTGGGGAGGCTGTGACATAAGGGCGACCATGGCACACATATGGTGGCAGTGTCCCGTTATCAATAAATATTGGACAGAGGTTGGTAAGATCATCTCCTCTATATGGGGATTACCCATGAGTATGGACTCCTGGGTAATGCTATTCCACAAAAGTGAGGGTTCAGTGCTAAAATATAAAAAATCCATCACACCACATCTGCTGAACTCAGCAAAATGTTTGATCCCATTGTACTGGAAGCACATAGAATCTCCCTCAATAAAGGAATGGCTCATGAAAATAAATCACATTTGTTCTATGGAAGAATTGTTTTTTAGCAGTCAAAATAAACATTTAGTTTTCTATAAAATATGGCAGGGGTGGTTTATATACAAGAAATCAGATGAATACCTATCAGTAATGACCTCCCACAACCGAGATTGAAAACAAAACATTATTCTCTTGAAAACGATTTTTTATTCTCTTATATGTTCAGGGATAACACCAATTAATGATAAAAAGGAAGGGTTGGTTTAGGAGGCCTAAGATTGTTTGTTCATATTTGTCTTTTGGAATTAAGGTGCTATAATCTACTTCTAGCCATGATTAATTAATATTTTTCAAAGTAAGACCTAAAACTAATTTACGTATGGGGAGCTCCAGTAGAGCACATTGGACTGGGGAAATTATCACTTAGACACTACTGTGGGTAGAAAACTGATTTATTTGCACGATACATACTGTCAAATGAAGGAAGGGGAGAGAAGAGGGAGGGGTGGAGAGAAGAGGGAGGGGTGGAGGAAGGAAGGGATGTGCTGATTAGCAATGTCCTTTTTGATCACTTATAGATCACTTATTCATATTTATTCATTTATATATATACATATATATATATATATATGTGCCTTAGGGAATAACTATATATATAATATCATATTTACATATTTATTTTTGAGTGACGATATACACCATCACAATATAGAGAAACGGAAACACCAAAGTAATTAAACCCAAAAGTAGTTATTACTGTCACTATCATAGATAATTACAAATAGAATCACTCACGTTAAGGGATGAAATAGGAGAGTTTGGCCCTGTGCATTTATGAATTGGTTTATGGATAACTGGCATAATATATAGGTTAGAGGGGATTATTGTAATGCATTGTCTTGTTTTATTGTTACATGTTTGTTAATTATGTAAAATGTGAAATATTTGGATTGCTGTTTGAAAATTAATAAATAATTATATAACAAAAATCAATGACAGGCCAAGAGGCTCTGCAGCTGTCCGCATGTAATCGCAACATGGAACGATTAGCTTTGGTTAGGGATACGAATGGCGCTGGATGCAATTAGTCTGCATACAGGGTCGCTCATATGTCCCTAGCCGCATGTAATTGCTCCTTGAGCGGTCACGGCTAATTGTACCCGCCAAATACACTGATCCGAGCCGTGTACAACCATGAATGAAGCCCCCAACTTCCAGTTGTGGTGGGGGGTCCATTTCCTGCCCCTTTGCGACGTGTAGCTGCGGGTTGGGGTATGGCCCACACGCAACTGATTGGGTCGGGATGGCAGGGTTGTCAGTTTTGCGCCGGCTTGGGTAAACTTGTTTCACATCAAGCCCTGCATTTCACTATTCCTCGTAATAGTAAACAAAAATAGGAAGAATGCTTGTACACGGGTAACAAATCGGCTAAAAGACAAGCAGTCATTATTACCAGAACAAGTAAAGCAAGATTAGCAGTGATTTACCAAAACAATCAGTGCCCAGGTTGCTTGAATCCATTTACGGATGATCTGATGGATTCAATGGATGCAATAAAAAAATTTGATTAGACACAATTATATAGAAGTTTTGGAGCTAATATCATGGCCTTGGTTCTTTCTTCAAAAATTAATTTGGATCTTGGGCTCATTACATTAAAATGAACACATAAACAATATACATTCATCTCACCGTTTCTTTTTTACACAGGTTTGAGCTTTATCTCCATTTCTGTATGATTGCACAGCCTCTGTCATGGCTTTATCAAGAAGGATCCTTAAATGATTGTTTACAACCTGCAGAATCTCCTCCTTCACACCCTAGAAAAGAGAGAGGTCTTCAATTCAGTTAAAGCCCAACTTCGGGCACCTTAATTGTTACACTTTTTAAACCCTTAAAGTGGAACTGAACTCAAAAAGTGAAGATTTTCTATGTTTTAGGGAAAGTGTCAATTGTGCATAAGCAGGAAAAATTGCAGTCCATTTCCTAGTATACTAGGCATCCTAGGCACTAGCTGTATATCTGCAGAGTGAGAAAGCAGCTATGCTTTGTAACCGGCAAAGCAGATGAAGGGGTGAAGTCACAACACTGGAACTGCTGTCTTTCATAGACATCTTTCTGATATGGCTTGGGGGCCTTAACCACAACATTGTGGTGTGATGCAAGAAAAAAACAAATATGTAGCACACTACACCATACCGCACTGCAATGCATGTATTTATGTTAAGTGTGTGCCTAACACAGCACACCGCAATGAGCCACATTGCATAACATGGATGTGTGTCCTGTGGCTGGGCCACAAAACTCTCTGTAAAAGCCAAACACTGTTTATGTTTTTCTCCTCCTTTTTTATATACCTTACCCCGTCATTATTAGGGATAAACTGACCCAAACCAAGCATAACAAAAAAGTTGGTCAAATACATTTAGCCAACCACTTACCTCCATGTGTCTTTTCCATTCAATAGAGCCATCAATGTGATCAGATACACCACCTAGAGTAATGAAAACAGCAGTCAGAACAGGAATGTATGAGTACGGAATTTGTTTTTACTGGGCACAGAACCCCACATCATCCCCTAAAGGCACTTATAATTATTATTAATATTATACAGGATTTATAAAGTGCCAACAGTTTGTGCAGCTCTTTACAAACTGGAGGGAGACAGTATAATTACAATACAACTTCAATACAGGAGGCTCCTGCTCATGAGAGCTTACAATCTAGTAGGAGGGGCAGGTGATACAAAAGGTAATAATTGTATGGGATGAGTTCATGAAAGAAGTAAAGGACGATTATTATGTTAAGGTGGGATAGGCTTCCCTAAAGAGATGAGTTTTCAAGGATCACCTAAAGGTGGATTTTGTGATCTTACTACAACCATAGGGACACATATTATTTGGTCTCAAATTGTGTCTCTAACAGCACATTCTAGCAGTAGAACAAAAATAATTACATAGCACAGAGTGCAGAGCTTGTATAAAAGGATGTCATCATTCAAGTATCAGGAACAGAATTGGACCGCAGAAAAAAAAAGTCCATGGAGTGCCCCCTTTTCTTACATTTTTGTCTGAGAATAGGTTTATCCCAAGCACCTTTAAAGTGGAACTAAACCCCCGTCTGTTTTTTTAACCACTTGCCGTCCATGGCCATTCCTTATAGTGGCGGGAGGACGTCCTTCCCCTCCCCCCACTCGTGTGCGGCGCACAGCGCGCACATGAGTGGGTAAAACTGTCAGAAAAGTAAACAGCCAGCGATGGCTGTTTACATTCAAGCGATCGGGCGTCTCTATAGATGCCCGATAGCTTGTAGTAGGTGTAGGTGTTTGTGTCCCCCGCGCGTCTCTGTCGGTCCCGAGATCCACTGTGCCCGGCGAAGCTGGGAACGGCACGGCAACTCTGTCAGTGGAGATCAAAGGGAGTTCAGTACACGATCTCCCTTTGATCTCCTCTCCTGTCCCCGAATGCAGGAAGTGATGTGTATAACATCACTTCAGCATTCCTCTGTCACTCTCCGGTGCAGAAGCCAGAGAGAGCCAGAGAGAGCTGATGAAGCAGATCTCTGCTTCATCAGCTTCTCTGGGGGTCCCTAGGTGGCATCAGGAGTCTTGGAGACCCCTGATGTCTCCATAAAGATGACCTGTCACGTGAATTGGCTATCACATAGGGGGAATCTTATTCTTCTATGTGATAGCAATAAAGTTAAGTGATAAAGACGCAAAAAAAAAATTGTCACAAATAAAGAAAAAAGTAAAATAAAACTATTTTTTTTAAAGTCCCCCGCCCTCCCACATACAAATGCAAGCATGCGTCGGGTGCGCCAATGTGCGAAAACGATGATTCCGACCTATAGTGTCGAACATGTTACATATCGCAGTGAACGTCAAAGTGAGAGCAATCATTTTAGGGCCCTGAATTACTGATAACACTAAATTGATGAGCAGTAAAAGCTTTTAAAGCGTCGCCTATGACCAATTTTGGGTGTGGTCGTTTTCTGCGATTTCAAGGGAGCACACAATTTCAAGGCTTGACATTTTGGAGCCTATTTACCCGACGTGACCCCGTCTTTTATATTTTATCCAAAAATTGGGTAATAATAAATGTTCCATAACATTGCATTCTCACACACATGCCCAGTAAATCCAGCATTGCCCTGCTGTGATCCACCACTCTGCTGCTTCTATGTCACCGTCTTCCTTTCTGACATCATTGGGAGCTGACTGTCTCTTCCTGGTTCTTGCAGCTGGTCCCCAGTAATACCACCAGGCCTGCCCTCCTCCAGCCACTGTGTGGAAGCTGAAGCCTCCTGTGATATTCAAATTACATTTCCCAGGAGACGGGTGCACATCATTCTCACCTAGGTGAGAATGGAGGTAGCAGACGGTCTGGAGTATAAAAAAAATTTAAACAAAGATTGCAGTGATTTAAACTGCATTTTTTGAGTAAATGTAAATTTACTTGGGGATGGTGCACACCATAGTGTTTGCTAAAGGCATGGTACCTGTGCGTTTAGCTTGTTATTGCACAGCATAATGCACCACATGCAGGGCCGCTGTCAGGGGGGGGTACGGCTGATACTGATATAAGGGGCCTGGGCAGCCTTAGGGGCCTGGGAACCTTACACGGTTATCGGCTGTTCAAGCACTGGCGGAACTACCAGGGTCGCAGCCAGAGCCGCCGTCAGGGGGGGTGGGGTGTGTACGGCTGATACTGATGTTAGGGGCCCAGGCAGCCTTAGGGGCCTGGGAACCTTACATGGGTATCGGCACTGGCGGAACTACCAGGGTCGCAGCAGACGCAATCGCGACCGGTTGGGGGGCCCAGAGAGCAAGAGAACCCAACTTGGTGGCGCGTGTGCGACGATGTTCGGGAGCCCAGTGAGAAGCCTTAGGATCCCTATGCCCACACTGCTCATGCGTTAGGGTGGGACGAACTGGCGCTGTGCAGAGGAGACAGACGCGGCTGGAGAGGTATAGCGTCCTGTTACCAGGACAACCAGCGGCACCTCTTCTAGCTCTCTCCAACGTGACAATGTGGCGACCCTTCTAGCTATCCTCTCTCCGTGACGGTGGCGGCATTCTCCCGATACAGAAACCCGCTCTGATCTTCGTGCTTTTCTCCATCTAGAATGTGAGTCCTATTTATAACTATTACTTTAAAGTTGCCTCTTTTTTCTTCCCTGTCTATGTATGATCCCCCTCCCACTGATATTTCCTCCCCACACAAACTAGACTTGTATACTACTCCTCATACCCCACAGGCAGAACTACAAGGGTCGCAGCAGTCGAAGTTGCGAGCAGGCCCTGGCGTTCCGTTTGTTGGAGGGGGCACAGAGAGGAAGAAGAGGGCCCCCCAGAGATATTACCACTCCTTCCCCGCCGCTCTGCCACCCACAGCATTTACGGGCGACTGTGCGGCGGGGATGGAGAGGCTGTCACTTGTCCAGCAGAATGTGCCCCAGGTACCGCCAGACAGCACATTCTGCTGTGTGAGGACCCTCTCCACTTAGTCCCGCCCCCCTGGCCACTGAGACGCGGAAGAGGGCCCTGCATGAGAGTCGGGTAAGTCTGGGCAGGGAAGGGGGGTGCAGGGAAGGTGCGGGGGGGTAGTATTCTGCATTACTGATTTTTATTATAAGGTATTGCTGGGAGTTGTAGTCCTGCATAGCTGGTGGTATTCTGCATTGCTGTATAATCATTATACAGCAATGCAGAATAGGACCAACTATGCAGGACTACCCAGCAATGCATTATATTTTTAAGTAGGTATGCACCAGTCAGTGCTAATACTGGGCATTTTCACAAGTACTCATACTCATGAAAATGCCCCGATACTAAACGCAGATATCGGTGTTCTGTCGAATTTGCTGACCTCAGCATCTGCGTGCGCACAGACCGGTATTATCGAGGAAACAGAGATTTATTTACAAAGTATTTAGTTTAAATCGTTAATTGTGACTGTTAATAATATGCCGTCCGTCATTTACTGCCACGGATGGCATGTTATTAACAGTCACAATTAACAATTACAAACGAATACTTTGTAAATAAATGCCGGTTTCCTCATTAATCCCGTCTGTGCGCAAGTGTCGATACTGGGTCGGCGTTTCGACAGAACACCGGCACTACATTTTTAAAACTGAAGCGGCTGACTGAGGTCCCACGCTTGCTGGGGACCTCGGCAGCCTTCCTATTAACCACACAGTGCCATGGTGATGGGGGGTTGGGGGGGCCCTTTCATAGTTTCTTGCACCGGGGCCCTGAATGTTCTAGTTACGCCTCTGCGTACAAGTGACAGGCCAGGAGGTGGAGGGGGCCGGGCCCCCGTAGCACCGGAGGAGGCCGGGCCCGCACGCTCCAGATCCTCATCTGGGGTGCTCCATGCGGGCCTCTGGTGTCCCCAGGGGGTCTCCACTGTACATTAGGTTTTTAAAGATGGCCGCCACGAGTAGCGGCAAGCGCCCACATGTCATTTAATATATTGTCGAACAGGCACTATATTAGATGAAAATCATGCTCTAGTGGTCCAGTGGGGAATCAGTATGATCTGCATCTCTTGCTGATGCAGACCATACTGATCGCTCCCACGTGGTGCCGCCGCTGATTGGCAGGGATCGATTAGTATGGTCTGCATCTGTACCCCGATGTGGTGCTTATTCACATCGGGGTACCCCTTTAAAAAAGGGCCACCCAGATACGCCCCCCCCCCCTCGTGAATGAGTAAGGGGTACTTATACCCCTACCCATTCACTAAAGGGTTAAAATAAAAAGACCAGACTTTTGAAGAAATCTTTTATTTAAAAAAAAAAATTAATCCTAAGGTCAGTCACGACATCCAGCGTTGTCCACGATGATGACGGCTCGGCGAAATAAAAAATGAAACAAAGAAAAAATAAATAGAAATTTAGAAAAAAAACACAAACACATCACCGCTAGCTCCCTCCAACTGTTTTCATTTGTTCGGCACCTGGCAGGACTTAGCTGTGAGCCATGATCGGGCTGTGCCTTGTGGGATGCTCGGCGGGCCGATGTTCGAGACGAACTGTTGTTGGACTCGGACATCGAGACCATCCCTAGTAGCTACCAGTTGTCTGATAAAGTTAGAATACCAGAGCAAGCTTACAATAGGAGAAATACCACTCTTCCCCATGTACACTTTAATAGGGAGAGTCTGAAGAAGAAAAAATAAATTAATTAAACAAAAAAAAAAGTCAGGATTTCCCCTAAACCTGTCTATAGGTATGAGAAGTAATCAAAATTGAGTTCTCTACACTTCCCTCTACTCCCCTCCCTATCCCTTTAACTTTTCAGCATATATCCTTCTCTCAGGTAAACTACATCCTTCTCGAGGTAAAGGTCATTTATGGTCAGCTGAATAGGCAATATGCTATCTCAGCCCTTTACGGATCATTTATAGGTTGGAGCTTCCCCCTGAGGGGACCGGAACACAAGACTCCAGAATACGAGGCTGTTTTGCCCATAGTTCATTGTTTTCTTAATAAGCTCCCGGTGTAGCCCTGAGATGGTATTATTAATACTACCAAATGCATGTAAATTTCGCTTACTGACCCCATACATGTCTGTATATGCTTTGTATGTGTACTCTCCCCTACTATTTCATGTAAGTAACATAACATGTTATGCTGTAAAAAAAAACAGAAATTTTTTTTTTTTTTAAAGTGAGAGTGAAAATGACTGCTTTGGTAAATCACCTCCATAGAGAAAACATGTACAAAGGGAAACATAACCTGCTTTTGCGGGTAACCTTCTAAAAATGTTCATTATTTTCCTGTCTCTGGTTTCAAATATGACTCATGGCCCAGGAACAAAATATGCTGTAAGGTTAGAGTTGAGTCAGATATTGTGATCTGCATACTTTTCCTGGTTAAGTGCTCGCAAAGTACTGGAACTAATGGATCAGCATGACAGCCATGTAACAAGTATTTTCAGAAAATGAGATCAGCAAAGGCAGCCTATGCATTTCTGTATAATACAAGCACAGTTTTCCCTTAAATTAAAAGAAAACAAAAAAAAAACAAGCATACTTCAATATGGGGATATAGCTAAAAAATACAATATAAAATAACGGTAATAATGAAATCATTGCAAAAAATAATAATAATACATACCATTCATTGCAATTTCCACACTACAAGAGGGAACAAGACACTATAGGAAGGTATAAGATCTAATAAATCTACTCTGCTAAAACCATGCCGGCAGCATATTCAAGAATCTGAGCATTAGACCAGTGCCAGGGAGTCCTTGGTTAGTTGAGCATGCATGCATGCTTATACAAAGATCTTTCTGATTGTGCCATATAGATTTTGACTATTGGTGGTACATAAAACAATTACTTGGGCTTAGCCACTGTGCATCTTGTGTAGTTGGCCATAAACCAGGAGATCTTTGACCAAAAACAGGTAAGGAGCCATCTGCCCCTCATCTGTAGTGCTAGCATCTATTGCTTTTGATTGTGCAGCTCATGCATAGTTAACCCCTTCCATCCTTTCTCATACTGAAAAGGATTGGCCAAGAAACCCAAACGGTTTTCTAAAAAGAGAAAATATGGTATTATATGATAGGAGTGTACTACACCCACATACATATTGTCCCTTATGTACAGGAAAGTTTGTAAAATGCCACTCTTAAAGGAGAACTATGGGGTTAACGCTTTTTAACTTAAAAGTAAGAAGCATTGCTGGCTAGAAAGCATTGATTAAAACAAAAAGCAATAGGCTCAGTTCACAAAGCTCACAGGAAAAAGTGACAGTTATGTTCAGCTAAGTCCAATGAAATGTGAAAATAACAGTTATATGGTTAAATTGAAGATTCTTATCCTTGTGTTATAATCTTTGTGAATTAGGCCCAGATGTATCAAACAGACAGACCCACACATATCAGCACTTACCATTTTGTTCTGTGTAGGTTTGGTCCTTGTTGTGATCACTTTTCCTGTTCCGTACCGTGCACGATGTGTCCTCAGTAGCTGCCATGGTGTTTTACTGCAGAGATCTTAGACACACTTTCATAGTTACAAAGTAGAAAAGGTCCTGTGAACTCTTTCACTTAGGTGAAAGGCTATTAAGCTATGGGCTGCTAATATTTCCTGTGATCGATCTACTTCTCCCCTTCCCCCAAACAACTAAGAGTCCTGCTAGGCTTAAACACAATTACCCAATAACCTTTGGAATTTAGGGGACTTTGAGCCTTCCATCCAAATGAGCTGATGACAAGAATAACTAGTACTTCTAGGCCTTCCAATCCATATCTAATCTGATTGTAAGCTTAATTTATAGATATTTCACTTTCTACGCCTTGTACAGGTTGACAATCTTTGAGATACCATTTGACCTTGGATAGTTTGTTCAACACTGTTTTAATGATTTAAAGGAGAACTCAGCCTCATAGTTCGAGCCGACGCGTGACAATGAAACTGTCACACGTCGGCTCAATAGATCGGAAGCGAGAGAAAACATACTGTCGCTCGCTCACTTCTTGATCCTGTCCCGGCAGGGAGCCGTGACTGTCACTCACGACTCCCTGCAGGGATTCCCCCCCTCCCCTTTTCGATCCTCCAGCGCTGACTGGGGGAACGGACGGGGAGGGGGCGGGACAGCTGGCTCTGCCTCTAAATAGGCAGAGCCAGCTGTCACTCACACAGCTGGGTGGATCCAGACAGTATTGTCGGGATCCGTTCCGGCTGCGGCGTCTCAGTATACCGCGAGGTGTTAAAGGAGCCATCGTTCTCGTTTAAGGGTATGCAGTTATATTGACACACTGGCAGCTACAAAAGATTGCTGACTCCTGGTTGTCAGTAGCAGGGATCCCAACCTGAAAAGAGGATTTTCAGGGAGGTGCCTTCTCATTTCAGGGAGGTGCCCTCTGCCCCCTTCCCTTGTTGAAGAGCACCCCCCTGAAATGATGGCAGATAGCAAAGAAGCTATTGCTTCCCATGCTATCTGCTGTTTTTTTGTAGTATTCTGACAGCTGCTGCAGTCAGAATAAAAAAAAAAAACCAAAAAACTCTGCATAGGAATGAATGGCTAGATTGCTATTGGCTATTTTCGATTTGCAATAGCCAATAGCAAGCTGGCTATTGCACCTGCCCTCTGCTGCTGTCAATCAACAGGAGGAAGACTTAATGGAGAACTTCAGGTCCACCTCTGCTGATTGACAGCAGCAGTGGGCGGGTGCAATAGCTAGTCTGTTATTGGCTATTGCAAATTCAAATAGCCAATAGCGATCAAGCTATACATTTCTATGCTGTCTTTTGTTTTTACTCTGATGGCGGACGGCAGCTTCGATATCAGAATAAAATAAAACAGACAGCAGGGAGAGAATGTTTCTCTCCCGGGCGGCCAGGTGTTATTATCTAATAGCGGGAGACTCCCAGAACGTCCGGGAGAGTTGGGATGCCTGTAGTAGTAATAAGCTGAACACCCCCCTGTTCGGTTCGAATTCAAACTTTAGAACATGAAAAAAGTTGGAATTCGAACTTGAACTCAATGCAAGTCTATGGGGCTAGAACTTTGAAATGCAATTGTCTCCTTTTTGAAGGCTTATATGCAGGTTATTGGCCATAAAAAGGTTTTGAAAGGAGCAGTGATTTTAACATTGCTTAAAGTGAAACAATAAAAATGAAAAATCCTTTAAATGTTGTGCCTGGGGGTCCCCTTAACCTGCCTGTAAAGTGGCGCATCTGTACGATATATAGAACCTGCTGCAGCAAAAAGTATAAAAATTACATTTAAAAAAAAAAAAGTGTGCAGTTCACCCGCCCAAACAATATTGACCCTTTAGGTCTGATAGGAAAGTTAGGAGGGACCCCATTTAAAAAAAAAAAAAGCATGGGGTTCCCCTTTCAAAAGTCATACAAGGCCCTTTAGGTCTGGTAGGAATTTTAGGAGGGACCCCAAGTTACAATTTAAATTAAAAAAGTGTTTGGGGTTCCGCCTCAAAGTCATACCAGGCCCTTAAGGTCTGGTAGGAATTTTGGGGAGGGACCCCACCCCCACAAATGGGGAAAAAAAGATGTGGGGTCCCCCCTAAAATTCCCAACCAGACCCTTGATCTGAGCACAGGCCTGGTAGGGCAGGAAAAGGTAGAAAAGAGTCACTAAAGGGTTTAATTAAAGTTTCAAAAAAAGAAGCCAGACTTTTGAAAAAATCCTTTAACTACCTCCCGGCCGGCCGTTGTGTATACACGGCCTAAAAAAATAGAAAACATTTTAGAGGTTCCCCTCCCAATTTTTTAAAAGTTACACATAAAAAAGAATTACAAAAAAAAATTTTTAAGTCCCCACCCCTACATACACGCATGTAAACATGCGTCAGGAGCGCATACCTGCGAAAACGACGATTGCGCCCATTACGCCGCACATGTTACATATCGCCGCGAACATCGGAATGAGAGCAATAGTTCTAGGGGTCATCAATCACTGATAACACTAAACTGATGAGCTGTAAAAGCGTTTAAAGCGTCGTCTATGGCCAATTTTGGGTATGCTAGTTTTTTGCGATTTCACGAGTGCGCGCAATTTTTAAGCTTGACATGTTTGGTGTCCATTTACCCGACGTGACCCCGTCTTTTATATTTTACCAAAAAAGTGGGTAATATTAGTTGTTTTATAACAACTAATCAAACTTTTTAGTAATTTCTCCTTATTATAGTAAAAAATAAAACCCCCAGTGGTGATTAAATACCACCAAAAGAAAGCTCTATCTGTCCCCAAAAAAGGGTATAAAATTCATTTCAGTACAGCGTTGCATGACGGAATAAATGTCAGTCAAAGTACTGCAGCGCTGAATACTGAAAAATGGCCTGGCCAGGAAGCGGGTCTAAACACCTGGTCTTCAAGCGGTTAATTGAAAAAAATGTCTTCTATTAAAAAAAATTAAAAAATTGATCCACCAACGTAAACCAGCGTCAATCACGACGTCCAGCGTTGTCCATGACAGCGACGACTCAACAAAATAAAAAATAAAACAAGAAAAAAAAGAGATAATTTTTTTTAAAACACGCCCGCCGACCCATCCATTCAAGACGAACTCCCTCCCGCTGCAGAATGGCATTCTGACAGATGGCGTCAAAATATAAACAATTGGGCGGAGCTAGCGTTCATAGCTAGCTAGCTCTCCCCAATTGTTTACAGTTGTACGGCATCTGACAGGTGAGCCATGATAGGGCAAAGTCATCATTACTTTGCCCAATCATGACCCTTACAGAGTACTGTGCCCTTATTGGGCAAAGTCTTGCACCTGACCTATGGCTTTAGCCAATCACAGCTCATAATGTACTGTGTGGTGTGCAGTGCCTGCCGAACGCCCCGACAGTTCGTGTGTTCTCCGAACACACAACCTGCCGCTGTTCGAGTCGGACTCTTGCTCGAGTCCATCCCTAGTTGTCATACAGCAGTGCAGAAAGTGTATTAATCTGATTATCAGGCAACACAACTGGCACACAGCCAACAATTGCAAAAATAAGAGAATCCTCCTCTGACCTTTGCTGTGTGCCCTGACATGCCTTTTTTAATAGACTTTATGAATGGCCAGGGGCGTAACTAGAAATGACAGGGCCCCATAGCAAAACTTTGTATGGGGCCCCCCTCCCCAACCCCCCTATGACGGGTATGATGGTGGAATGGAGTGCAGGGATGGAGAGGATGGGTATGATGTTGGAATGGAGAGGTTAGGTATGATGGTGGAATGGAGTGCAGGGATGGAGAGGATGGGTATGATGGTGGAATGGGGTGCAGAGGACGGGTATGATGATGGAATGGAGAGGACGGTTATGATGATGGAATGGAGTGCAGGGATGGAGAAGATGGGAATGATGGTGGAATGGGGGTGCAGGGATGGAGAGGACGGGTATGATGGTGGAATGGGGTGCAGAGGACCGGTGTGATGATGGAATGGAGAGGACGGGGATGATGATGGAATGGAGAGGATGGGTATGATGATGGAACAGAGAGGACGGGTATGATGGTGGAATGGGGTGCAGAGGAGGGTTATGAAGATGGAATGGAGTGCAGGGATGGAGAGGACGGGTATGATGGTGGAATGGGGTGGAAGGATGGAGAGGATGGGTATGATGGTGGGATGGGGTGCAGGGATGGAGAAGATGGGTATGATGGTGGAATGGGGTGCAGAGGATGGAGAGGATGGGCATGATGGTGGGACGGGGTGAAGGGATGGAGAGGATGGGTATGATGGTGCAATGGGGTGCAGAGGATGGGTATGATAGTGGATTGGGGTGCACGTTGTCGGGTTCCAGGCACCATTTCCCCAGCTGACACCTGTCGTGCTCACATCCCCGGCATCCGTCATGTGATCGCACTTGCCCGGATAGATGTAAGGAGCGCCGGGATTGGAGGCTGAACCACGGCGTGTGCAGTGAGCGCGGCGTGCGTGTTCGGTGGGCGTGGCGTGTGCAGCGTGCGCGGCTTGAGTGTGGAGCCGCGAACAGGCATTGTAATAGATAGGCGACTAATCGACGATCGGAAACGTTGACAACTTTTTTGATTGTTGATTTTAATTGACTAAATCGAATCGTTGTTGTAGCTCTATTGTCTACCACTAAAGTTAAAAACAGAGGTTTAGATACACGTCTTCTGCAGAATATGTGAAAGCGTCTCGCCAAGGCACCTCCATATAGTGCGGTCCTAACTCTAATCTATGAGAGTCTCCATCTTGGAGCACATGCAGGCAGTGGCGTAACCAGAGTTATGGGCGCCCGGGGCAGAA